TTACTATGACGATGTAGTCGAATAGGTTCGATAATTGTCTCGCCGAGCTGCACAAGCACTTGAATCCCACCTGAACACGATTCGCACACGGACATATTTACAAAAAAACTGTTGATCTAGTAAAGTATACCTCACCAATATACTCGACTGGAGTGATATCAATTACCAGTACCAAAATACAACTACGGGGAACCATCTTCATTCACGTCGAATCCAACCATCTATCGGCCGTGTTACAGTAAATACATAAAAGCAAATTACCTCACGGTGAATCCACTTGTACCTTTCGCAAACACAAAGCACGCGAGAAGTTCTGTCCCTATGTGTGGCACTTTGAATTCAACATCCTCATATATTCCATCGCGGTTAAATGCCAACCACGAGAGAAGCCACAACTTCAAGCACTTACTGTCAGACCATGACCGTCACGTCTCCTGCAAAACGTGACGGTTAGAATCCGTTTTCAAGCACCACACTACGTTCTAAGCAGTTCTCACTTTCCAATTTTACGTCCGACAGATAGAACACCACACCAAGCACTCGATCGATGCCGCCCAAGAAACGAGACAAAGAAATTTATCTACAAGAGAAGATAGATCTACCAGAAGGCATCACAATGCCAGCGGTCGCCGCTACGCCGACAACCCCGGAAAGGCTGATAAAAGTCTCTCGACAGCGAGTAGGTACTCCATCACCGGCAGTTTAACGGCAAAACTTACATGCGTGTTGTGTTCGTATGTTCTTACTTACAGACGTTCGATGTCAGCCCAGAGTCCAAGTACGTATCTCCCCTGAAAAAACTTCGCAAGACGATGAGTGTTCATCCTCACCAACTTTTCGATACGATTGATAGTAAGCGCTATATATTGTTAGTACTATCTTACGCTATTCATACGATCAAATTATTTTTGTGAATGCAATAAATAGGCTTGCGCGAGTTCATCTCGAAAAATGACATGACGAACCCAGAGATACGATCGTCGGCTCGCATCAGAGCGCGTCTGCTGTGGACAACCGCGGAGACAGTAAGAGGCCTGCACTTCTTGCGACTATACCTGAGCGAGGCTCAGGCGCTAGAGCCACTGAAAGACCAACAAAAGGTATAGCGTTATGTTGTCGTGCATCTATCCACATCCATTATAAACTACTCACTGTTTTGCACATGACAGGAGTACCAAGAAGCCCAAACCCAACATCCATTCAATGCAAATCAATTCCTTATCACAATGTCGCTCTACGAAATCGACGTAGGAGATCCACGCTTGCCGCAACCGGGGAACGTGATTACATTCTCGCCGACGAAGCTACGTCTCAACAGGAATTGCTCCCAAGTCGCCACCAAGCTCCAGAATATCACTGTCATTGATACCATGTAAGAATCACACTTTGTAATCTCGTGTTCGCCCATGCTACTAGCACACGCTACCAGCACTCAATATATTATCTCTTTGTTCTCATCTCACTTTACTTTCCGCTTTCTGTCGTTCTCGAAACATACAGGAGCTGCTGCCAAGTCGACACCAAGCTCCAGAACATCACTGTCATTCATTGATACCAAGTAAGAAACGCACCTTGTAGTCTCGTGTTCGTCCATGCTACCAACACACGCTACCAGTACTCAATATATTCTCTCTTTGATCTCATCTCACTTTACTGTCCGCTTTCTGTTGTTCTCGAAGCTACGTGTCTACAGAAATTGATGCCAGGTCGACACCAAGCTCCAAAACATCACTGTCCTTGATACCAAGTATGAATCGCACTTTTTATTCTCGTGCTCGCGCTCGTGCTCGCCCATGATTCCTGCCAAGTCGACACCAAGCTCCAGAACATCACTGTCATTCATACCAAGTAAGGACCGCCCTTTGTAGTATCGTGCTCTCCTCTCTCTTTGTTCTCATCATACTTTACTTTCCCGCTTTCTGTCGCTCTCACACATGTATACTTTTAGACATTTCTGTCCATGTATTACTTTTAGAAATAGATCAGCTTCGAACTGCGAAATCTGGACGGAACGGCCGGTACGCCAATCATATTTAACCGTTCTAGCCACATGTTTCATGTCATTCTCACGTGACTTAGTATGATGTTGCGTGGACACTCAAAGACAGCAAGACTACCGTGAACCCAAAGCAATCATTGAAATCAAGTCATTCCTTTTACGGTAATTACGTCCCGTTGTTTGTAAGAAAAGGTTTAGAAAAGTGGAAGAACACACGGACTCACTATTAAATATGCACACTCGGACCGTAATGGTGTTGACGATCTTCCATGTCACATTAACCAATTCTTGGCCACATTACTCGGTGAGCTTAGTAAAACACGTGTCGTAGTCAGTGTCTCCACCAGCGCAGAAGTCGCCGCCTCCCTCCGAGTAGCCGTACTGGCAACTCACTTGCTGGGCAGCGTGGACGTCAGCATCACCCGAGTCCAATTATAGATGTCAACGCTGACGCCGGGGTCTTTGTCTTCGATCGTGCGGACGTAGAAGTTGTCCCTGAGCACCCAGCGGTCACCGTTGGGATTCGTGTACCCCTGTTGCTACTTTAATTTATTCTCCAGAGCCGCAATAGGCTCGTTCGTGGTGCTGTATGTTTTAACGTTATTGTCTCCATCCGAGAGAATGGAATTGGCATCACTGTAGTCATGGTTACCCAAGACTATGATGAAATGGGATTGTCGCGTCGACTTTCCTTCGAAGGTGGTAATGAAACGTGAGTCACAGCCATCTCGCAGCTGATACCTGTCCCCTAGAAATTGCTGTGGCTGAGATTGGCCTTGGGCTTAACGTCAGCGTTGCCCGCTTGAGGGTTCATGAGCCTAGACACGAGACCCTCGGCCACAGCATCAAATTTATTGTACGTCTAAGAGCGCGTGCAACACGAGTCCGCGATCATATTAGTGCCCCAGTCTCCGATGGCAAAGCTGCAACCGAGTACGTCACTGATAATCTCTACTGGGTATGTATTGAAGATGACTGAGACAAATGCATGGCGAATTAGTGGTTAACATGTAAAATACATCTGAGCCACTCGTCTTCAATCTCAATATTCTTAAGAAATAAAGTTGCCATGAAATTTTCCCACTCAGCTGTGATGCTCAAATAATTGCTGTCATCTTCTAATGGCATCGGCACATTCGACGGGATACTAGCTCGGTTTTCGTCTCCTCGAAGTCAAAGACATTGCGTAACATCGAAAAATTCCCTGTTCTGGTGAAGAAATGAACACATGCCAATGTTCATTGCTGAGATTGACGCTCGCTAACTAGTAATCATCATTCCACTGACTCCGAAATCTCTCTCGATGTGTGCCCATGATATTGGTACAGCAAGGATTATACGAGCAACCGCGGTGAGGAACGGGTAGCTGTTGCTTGTTTGTCGACTTAAAAACGTAAAGATATGTTCAGCTTCATTTTTGTCGTCGCGATTCTTTGCAGTTGGCTCTGAAATCCACCATTCCAGCTCTCCTTCCACACGGGTTTCCTGAACATTTCTGGAGGGATTGCTTCGTTGGCTTAAAGAAGTCCATGTGATCTTCAGAGAGGATTATAGGTGGTTCATTCGTAGCCGGCGTTGGTGTCAGCTCAACTGCTGGGGCAGGTACAACAGACAACATTAGAGGCTTTAGTCGATCTAGAATTTGTTTTTTTACGAAGGTAATCATTCTGGAGGCTTCATCCTTTTGTAGGCGTTTTACCGGATTAGCAGGATCAATTACTAACTGCTGGTTGCACAAGCGAATGGAATGCACCATTCCCACCAAAGTTTCAAACCTTCCGTTAGCATCCACTTCACGTCGGCTCCGGCGTCACTCGTGTCTCAGTAGACGCTGTTGCTTGAAAGACCAAAATCAAGAAGAATATGATCTATCCACCGCTTGAATGGCCTACGAATGTCACCATTGCGCTCACCGTACGAATAACGACCGGAAGTGCCACTGTTTAACGAAGAAATGAATCCGCAATCGAAGATCTCTTTTTTAATATTTGTGTTTTTGAGGACCACCTATCCACCACAAGAGTAAGGCACTTGTTGTTTGGTAATATTTTTTCGAAGATAAATTTATCATATCACTCTTGGCGGATGCATGCCGTTCACCAATTAATTGTGTCACTGCTTGAGCGTTGGTAGTCGTGCGATAACGCTCATCAGTGACAAGCTCATACAGCAACCTCGACTCTTCGTACTCTTCCAGTCCGAACGGTAAATTATTGAACACAATGCACAGTATTTCCAAAAGAAGACACACTCAGGCAGCATCATGCGTAATGACAGCAGCATGGCGAAGCCTGTCAGCCTCACCGTCCCGTTTCATTTTCGTGCTGCTTGAAGGACCGTTTTATCGGAATTTATGCCGTAAACGTCTTTTAAATGTTATGTAGCTTTCGACGTCTTACTGCAATGCTGTATAGTCTGATGGCATTCTCCACAGCTTTCACTTCCGACACAACTCCATCCCATGCAGGTTTTTCCATCGAGCTCGGCTGCATCTCTAACCGGACACTGAAAAAATATCGACCGCTGCCCAGCCTTTGGGGAAGGGGGGGGATGTGAATCCAGGTAAGGATCGAATGCCCTTTAGTACGTCCTGTTCGGCATCAGGGATACCGATTTGGTTTGGGTTTACTGCGGGGGGCTGACGAAGCGTCACCACCGGCCAAATAAGATTTTGATATGCATAGCCTAGTAAAGGAGTGTTTTCCGGTTCTTGAAAGTCGTCTTCACCTTGGTCCATATGCACGGGAGGGGCAAAATGGCGACGATAGCTTTTGGATGCACTGGTGTGCCTGTGGTGCATCCACACTACGGTGCTGGACTGGATACTAAAAGGCTGCCACCATTCCTAATGATGACGGTGAAGTAGATGGGGTACACCGACGGACAGAATGCAACTGTCACTCTCCCGCTGGTATAAGAGCGGTCAGATGGTCATAGCCTTTTTTAAGTAACAAATTATCTTGAGTATTTGGCAAAGTTAAGGAGGCAGTTGTATTTAGCACTAAAAGTTGGTTTTAAGTGCTTTGTTAAATGCACTCGTGATGGTGGCAGCTTCAATGGATTCCCAAGCTGTTATGACACGCTTTATCGTAGCTAGGCGTTTTTCCTTAGCAGTCGTTGCTCCAGTCGTTGCTGTAGCATTCTCGAACAACCCCAGCGCCTTGAGCTTTGCTTTTAAAGGCCCCATGATACCAACATCTAAGGGTTTGGCAAACTGAGGTGCATTCTTAGGTAATGGCTGGAGCACAGACATAAGCTCGTCCGACCCAATTGCCTCAGACTCGCCCGAGACATGACACTCTAAGTTATTTACGAGTAGTAGAGAAGGGCGTGCAATGTGCTGCTGTAGTAGTGAGCGTAGGTAAAACTTCCATACGGGGGCATCCATCCAGGCTTTATTCCGAACAGTATACACATGTCCTAACAGCCATTACCGTAACTTCCGTCAGTTATTTAATAACAAACACATAAATAATTAAAATAGAGCAAATATGTACCGTCGAAGTATGTAGGCAGCTCTTCTCTCTTGATGATGGCGTTCTGCTCTCCACGCACAATGAAGAGGCGTGGAAGCTTCGCTCTATCCGCGAGGATAGTGCATACAGCCGTCAAACGAGCAGAATGTTTTTTGCTGAACCGTTATAGCTGACGACTGACCTCTTTCGGATAGTATCTTGTCCGGCGGTGCGTAGATCCCAGCTTCGTCACAGTTAAAAACTTTACTAGCAGCATAGCTATTGTACTTAGACTTGAAAAGCTTAACGAAATTGTCTTGTACTTCCACCAGGTACTCCAGTTTTTCCTGTACATAAAGTATCAAAATGATCAAGTTGGATTAATTCTTTACAATTTATATGTCCATTCACTACCTCCAAAACCGTGTGGTGTGCGCTGCCCGAAGCCATGCCGATACGCAAAGCGCTGTAGCAGCCTTTGTAGGGCCTGATACGCCGTATATTTGTCATTCTTGCCCTACGAATAGCCCTCCAACCACTCTGAGTGCTCCTCCCAAATGTATGCGGCCATTATAGATGCAGTAAGTGGCAGGGACTCGCGATGTGTTTCCTTCATAAAAGTGACGAGCATAGCGCTAGACAGTATTATCTCGCGACGACCAGGTGCTCACGACAGGGTCTTCTCGCTGTCTCGAAACGGATAAAGCTCGTCTTCGTTCTTCCTCCATGACGTTAAAGTCCATCGCGGGATTTTTGAGACATGACAGCCTCGCGCTGACTTAAACCCTGCGTTGCTATCAGAACACGCCTTTTTTTCTTCATTGTATAATGAATTCAACGCTGATTATGCTTTGAGTACACCTCATTGAGAAGGTCTGCAATCGCCATGATTTCTGGTGGCGAGAGGGGCTCAGGTGAAGGCTCCGACCGGTGGTCCGACTCGGACTCCGGGGTGGGCTCAGCTACAGACTCCATTTTACCAGGTGACTGGTGCAGAGCAACCACATCAGTTCAGCTGTGCAATGCGGCGTTTTAACTGATTTGATTGGCTAATTAGGTGGATTGGGCTATGAACCGCACCCGTTTAACGTTGACGTTTGGTGGCAGTTGGATTTTGCCCGTTGGTGTAGTTGACGCAGGCTGAAGCCATCTGCGACGGGTCTGGCCATGCTCACTGTCTCTATATGGACGTGTGAACCAGGATCGCATGCTGATGAATCACTGATTAAAGGCCTTGTCCGTGGCGAAGTGTTAAAAGTCAGGAGCAATTTGGAAAGTGAGATGAAATATCTAGTGTTTAATTGCTTCTCATCAACAAGAAAGAGAAAAGAGCTGAAGGGATGTCGAGAAGCAGCAAAGTGTGTCGTATGCCAGCTTTCCTTCTACATTCACTAAGTGTCGCGCGCTGACATCGTTTAAAGTAGCGCGGCTCTCTCCGAAGACAGTCGCTAGCAGCGGTTACTTTTTGCTGGCCAATAAGAAAGCGAGGTTCGTCTAGGAAAGTACTGTCACGCACGAAAATATGAGCCTGAGATCATACGTTTCACTTTTGGGTTCACAAAAAAGTATGAAACGACGCATGAACCCCGGATACTGAAAAGACTCGGCTAATATCCACAGCTTGAAGCTTGCGAGTTGAGTAACCGTCGGTAATTACCGGTAAGGTTGTTTAAGGCGCGGATGCCACATATAGGAATCATCCCAAGGCCGGCTTCTCCATCGCCAACTCGGCGAGGCGTGAGCTGCCGTCCGTTATCATAATGTTGATGATGCGACAGGCGCTCTCGATATTGCTTTTTTTTGTGGAACATGGTTGTCACTTAGCTACTGGAAGTACCTAACGACACCCTATGACCTTGATGACAGCCGTCTCAACACACCCGCCCTGTACGCTCTCGATATGGAACAGTCATTGCCGTACGTCCTCTCCCCTCTTTCCGGTGAGCCTCAGATGATAAAGGACTGGCCGGAACCAAGTACCCAAGAAAAGGCTCGTAGCTCACTAGGTCTAACTGGCTACGATTAGCGCTTCTGTCAGGAGTATGCTTCGCTGTCGGTTACCATGCTCGCTGTCCTCCAGCAGAATATTAAGCGTAGCTCAAAGATTTACTTCAACGATGAGCAGCTGAAGCCTTATACGGAACTGAAGCGACGGCAGCGTACCCACCCGTCCAGAGACTACGTGACTTCAGCCAGCCCATGCGACTTCGTACAGATGCCAGCAAGATTGATGCTGGCGGTGTACTGTTCCAGATCGCGATGGTATCGAACGCTCAATTGCGTATGCCACCCGGAAGATAAAATCGGTGGAGCTCGCCTACCCGACGCAGCAGTAAGGGCCCTTGGCAATCGTTCACGAACTAGCATCTTTCGTATCTACTGCCCGGACAAGCACCCGATTGCCGAGCCAAATAACAAGCGTTTTGAAGGTCATTTCACGCAGAAGATGGCGAACCTTCACATTGCACGCTGGTACAACACTCTCATTTCGGGGTGCTTGTATCATAACAATTGTGATACTACGTAGAGATGTTCTTGTTGGTATCGGCAAGACATCGGACAATGCCAGCATGTCGCAGAGGGCACGCCCTATCACTTCTATTTGAGATCCACCCGTGGGTTCCTTGCTATTCTTCAGCTGGTCTTAATATACACGATAGAGCGCATAGAAGTCCCAGCATGTGTTCGTCCGTCCGACGAAAGTTGTTTCTTAAATCGATCGGATTTCCAGCTTCAGTGAAGAGAAGAAGAAACTGTTTTTGGCGGAGAGTGGCTGTCTTGCGCGTGATTTCTTCCGATTGTTCAGTCAGGATTCTAATTCGTGTTAGCCTCGAGCCGTCAGTGGTGTACTTATAGAAACGGCGATTCCGCGCACTATGCCATCGTTTTGGCGTCTGGGCTAGGATATCATCATCGGAAGCCAAAAAAGGAAAGCAGAAATGTTTAAGGCGATGTTTAGCGCTATTCGTCTTAGAATTGACCTGGTAGTCTCCTGATCGATTATGGGACATTCGTGTCTGTGTTGCCCTAAGTTGTTTTTCATTAGGACGGGAGGGGGGGGCATTGCATTTTCTGTCTGATGCAACAAAGTTATATAATGATCACAGATCCATTTTAGGCGCTTCTATTAGGGGGGGGGTCGAACATTGCAAAAAACGTGCTCAAAATTCCTTCGGATCACGCTCACATTTTTGACAACGACCTGCTTCCATTTAAAATGAACTAGCCGTTTTTTATTTTCTAAACAAACCTCCCTTCCACTGACCAGACCGGCTTTGGAAATGGAGGAAGGCGCCTGTTTGGCTGCGTCGCTCCGCAGTCGTCTCCGGCCAGAAGTCGGGTACCCCAAGGCGCGTCGTGCAGCACACATGCTGGAGATAGATGCCGCGAGCAAGCGCCGCAGTCCGTCACCTTCGATCTCCCCAGACAACCGACCAAACCCGCCGTTCGTTGAACATGAGTTCAGCTCGGGTAGTGAGGATGAGGTCGAGGCCGGAAGCACTCACAATGCTCCTGTGGGCTGCGTGGGATAGTACACTCCAGTTGTGACGGGGTCACACGGCACCTTGCGCTAGAGGAAGTTATCTTCCGAGAGTATACAAACTCTCAGTGAACGGCAGTTCACAGGTCCCCTCTTTAATTAAAGAGAGCGAAGTGACCTAAATAAGGTAGATTGTAAACTGAGTATATTTATAGGTAGGTTAAGTTTGAGGTTAATACAAACTATTGGTTACCTATAGAAATGCAATGTCATTTAACCAATGGTTGGTTTTGAATGACCTTGGTACCTTGTACCAAATATCCCGGGGTATGACGTGTCATACTCCTGAAGTGTGAAGTGTCACACTTCATGTAACCAGGGTACACTTAGGGCTACGTACCCCGTTACATCCTCCCCCACTTAGGTTCGGTTTACCGACCAATCAGATTGAAGAGGTGTTCATCACAAACTCTCATTCTCAAAGTCGAAAACCATCGACTTGGCCGCGCAGCGCGGCGGAGGCTCACTTCACAGTTAGAGCCTCGAGCAGCAACCTGTGCGCTCTTCGTCAAGGTCTCCACTTCGACCGTTAACATGCCTCGTGGCACTGCTAAGAGCGGTGCTAAGACACGCTCCAAGGCTGCAGCCGGTAAGGCGCAGGCCAAGAGCACTAAGCCTCACGGCAAAGGCTCTGCACTCAAGGAGGCTACTCAGGTGGCCTCCGAGGCGATCGGATCCTCGGGTGACGCGGCTGCGGACAAGCGCGCAAGCAGGCGCCGCAGTCCGTCGCCCTCGTCTTCAGACAATCGTCCGAACCCCCGGTTCGTGGAACGTGAGTTCAACTCGGGCAGTGAAGACGATGCCGAGTCCGAGAGCACTCATGATGCTCCTGCGGGCTCTGTGGGAGGGCACAGCCCAGTGCCCAGTAAGCACAAAGAAGACAGCGTGCAGTCGCCCGCTAGTGATCACGGTGATCACAGTCCCAGGACCTCTGTGCGCTCTGAGAGTCCGGCCGTTAAGGCTAAGGGCACTCCCAAAGCCGGTGGTGATGAGGAAGGGAGTCCTCGCAAACGTCTCTCGCTTGCCGAGGGTCTTGCGCGCGCTAAGGCCTCTAAAGCCGAAGGCGCCAAGCCCTCAAAGAAGCGTACCGCCTCTAAGTCTCCACTCCGCGAGGAGAAGGAGACTCGACGCTCCTATCAGAGTCTCTTCGGCTCCTCGGATGAAGAGGAGGAGAAGGAGGAAGAAGAGGAAGAGGAGGGTGCCATTGTTGAGCCCCGGGAGGTCTCGAATGACCTCGACCAGCAGCAGGAGGAATTCCAAGCCGCCCAGCGTGTGCGTGGGGGTTCGGTGGTGGCACCCGTCAGCCAGGGAGCTGCCATCAACTCAAGAGGGTATTGGCCTCCCGAGGAGAGCTCTGGGGCTGACCTCTTCTTAGAGCTTCTCGTCGCTCCT